TTTCAAACAATTTCTGGCTTGAATATGTTAAAAAGGATAAATGAAACCTGGCTTTTTTTCCCCTCTATTTTTTTTTTCTTCTCTCATATGCAAAGTCATGTCCTCCTTTATTTGAGATCATATGATATTTTAATTTTTTTTTCAGTTAATGCATTGTTTTAATATGTTTCAGTTTGCTCTCCTGTATTTAAATCATCCTTCTATTTACAGTCGAGCAGAATGACAAAAATAACTGTGGTTTCATAGTGAACCGGTGGAATTTTCCTGCATTTCTCCCCTGATGACTTGGCTGACTCCTAGAGAGCCTAAATGCTTTTGCATTTTTGCTTGCAAGAATGAGGTGGTTTCCCTCCTGCATTCCTGTATTTTTCCCTATCTTTAAGTCTCACTGGGATTTGGGTTTGTTTACTACACAAACGGTAGCTACAGCATTGCGTATTGGGTCATAGATCACTGCCTGAAATTAAGGTAGCTGCATGCCTTATTGAGGGTGGGTTAAAAAAACCCCACTGCCTTGTGACAGCTGATTTAAATGTGTATATCTGGGTGGAAGGGGTTCCAGATCTCATCAGGGATTACATTGTCAATTGTGTTTGGTTATTACCTTTGCAGCCATTAGTTTCTTCTCTTTCTTTAATGAAGAAATAGTATTTTTTACGCTGGCCCTCCTTTCCTGCTTTCTTTTTTGGCACAGGAAGGCAATCGTTGCTTGTTAACGTTGAAGAGTGGTGGTTGTTTTTAAAAATTCACATTGTCCCCAATTACGGCAGTTTTGTATGCTCGGATAAAATACCTATTCTGCGAGGAGTCATAAAGATATGCTGTAACAGCTCATCCTCCCATCCCCCCCTTCTCCTTCAGTTATCAACAGTGCGTCAGTGGAAATTTCCACCCTTTGCTAATGTGAGAGAAAGCACAAAGTTGCAAAGCAGCCTTTGGAGAAAAAAAAAACTATTGCCATTTTAGGAACACAACGAAAAGCAGCATACGACTTGCAAGCAGAAATGAAATTAAATTCTTGAGAAGTGGTGGGACTAAAACAGTGCAGCAAAGGGAACAAATGCTCTTGCTAAGGGAAGGGGGCATGAAAGTGGTGGTGGATCACCAGCTGGAATTTCTCCCCCTATTCTCCTTTCTGTTAGTTGCAACTGTGAGAGGATTTGGAAGGCTCCTTCCCAAGAAGAGTTAAGTGTCATCTGTTAAATTTACCAGTGGCTTTTAATGGCTTTAACAGAAAATATGACTTTCCCTTTTTAAGGGGTGTGCATCCTTCAAATGTTGCTGTGGAGTATTTCTAATGAATTGTCCAAGCTTAAAAATTGTTTCTCTCCCTAAACTTTTAACCAGGTGGCATCTCTTAATTCTGGAGACCAGAAGACGGTAGGCAGTTCAGTTTTCCAAATATATTAAGCCAAATCCTGTTCCCCATTGAAGCCTGTGAGGGTTTGTGAGGAGGACTGAACCCACCAGAGTTTCTTCAAATTCTTCTTGAGGCAAGTTATGCCAGTAGCTCTCAGTAGCCCTGCTGCAGTCAGAGGAGCAGCACCTTCACTGATGTGACCTGGCACTGGTCCCTTGGCTTCAGTGACACTCGGCCACAGCCTGCACCAGCTGGGCATCTGTTCTGGAGGACTTGTTGCTTCAGTATGGGCTGCAGGGAGATTTTTTGCCATCAGACCCCTCACATACAAGAATTCAGTGCTTTAATCTGGTCTTTCTGAAAAAGACTTCAGAGACAAATTGTGGCTATTAATGCAGGTGCCTGTGTAATAGCTTCAGGATTAGGATGTCTGGCTAAGGAGAAGCATCTTCGCCACGTTTTCCATGGGTGGATTCCACCCCTGTGCAGTAATCCAGCACGTGCTGCTTGAGTCATTTCTGGCCTGACAGGTCTCCTCTGTGTGTAATATTTTTGATGTAACACATTTAGTTGGATGAAAATGAATGCCATGCAGCAAGAAGACCATGAGTGTGTCTGTTGTTCATGACCCCATCTCCTTTATCTCCTGTTCAGACTCCCAGTTCAACTTCTGGTCTTGGGGACTTACCCTCCAAGATTACCTCTATGAAGATGGACTGTGATGCTCACACTATAGTTGGCTTACTAAGAATCCATACCTCTTGCAGAAAAAAGTCCTCTCGGTTAGGTACGGTTTTTAAATCAAACTGGGATGCTTGATCCTGCTTGGGTAATATGACTTCATTTAAGGGATGTCACTTTCAGGTTATACTGATGCTTCATGGGGTGGTGTGCTTGAGTGGACTAGGAGGAAAGGGGAGCTTTAATAAGAAGATGTGTAAAGATTAAAATGAAATAGCTAGGTGGGAAGTGCTGTGCTGTACATTTAGCTTTTAAATTACTGATAGTCTTGGAAACGAGGTGAGTGCTTAGTTCTCTTCAGTAGGATTTCTGAGACAGTTGCAGTGTCTTTTTACTGTAGTGTCATTAGTGCCATGCCAAATGCAGACAAAGTGATTAAAAAGTGTTCTGGTTACAGCTCTGTTGACAATGCTGGTTCATTCACAGCATTTCAGGGGAGGAGGGATGGCCAGTGACATGGCTCACTTGTTTTTTGCATTAGTATGATGGCTGGCACTAGGTCCCTCATAACTTGCAGGAAAAGCAGACATAATGTTGCTAATGAATTTAAGGTACATCTCGTGTTAAGAGATGGGATCTGAATTTGCATATCTGAGATTAAGTTAATGTGCAGTGTGTAGTTGTGTCCCGTGTCTGAAATGGGGCTCATGAAGTGCAGTAGGCTTCTGTCCTGGTTTCAGCTGGGATAGAGTTAACTTTTTTTCTAGTAGCCAGTATAGTGTTATGTCTTGGATTCAGTATGAGAAGAATGTTGATAACACACTCATGCTTTCAGTTTTTGCTCAGTAGTATGCTCAGTATACTAAGTCAATGGTTTTTCAGCTTCTCATGCCCAGCCAGTGAGAAGGCTGGAGGGGCACAAGAAGTTGGGAG